TGATGGTTCTGGTTCCCTCCTCCTCTCCTCCAGGCCTTTGAGGTGATGGTACAGGTGGGAACCACAGGCTGGGGGACAGGACCTCTGGGTCTTCTCAGGTTCCCCTGGCCCAGTGATGTCACTCATGCCATAACATCTCACTGAGCACCCATATTATGTCAGGCTCAAGGGCTCAGTCAGAGCCCCAGTTGTGAGGTAGGCTGTCTGGAAGCCTTGTCTCCCAGCCCCATTCTCACCTTCCTCCGATTCTAGCTGCACTAACCTTCTCCCCATTCTTCAGATCCATGGCTCCCACTTCATGGTCTTTGTACACACTGCCCAGAACATGCCTGATGGGTAACCTTCCTTACCCATCTTTTAAGACTCTGCTTGATGACACTTTCTTGAGACCCCCTTCCCAATCGCCCCTATCCTCTTGTACCAAACAAATACCTCTTCTTATGTGCATCTCCTAGCTCCCAGATTCATCTTCAGAACACTTACCCCCACCTGGAATTGTTTTTGTGGTTAGTGTCTGTCTACCCAAATGCACCATAAGCTCCAGAATGGCAGAGACCATGTTGGTTTTATTCTGCACTGTATCCCTAGCACTCAAAAAACAACTGGTGATCAGGAAATGCTTTTGAATGAATGAATGATGTTTCACTCAGGCCTTTGATATGAGAGAATACCAGGGGATCTCCAGGCAGAGGGAACAGTGTGGGTTAAGGTCTAGGGGTGGGATGACAGGTCCTGAAAGGTTCCTTGCAGTTGGAGATCAGGAGGCAAGGCTGGGAGGGCCTCAATGGGATGGGAGCCTGAGGGGCATGGAAGAGACTGGACCTGACCTGAGACCTGGGGGCTGCCGGGGGGTCCCAGCTTTGCAGGCATCTCCCGCAGCACCACCATCGTGACAGCATATGTGATGACTGTGACGGGGCTAGGCTGGCGGGACGTACTTGAAGCCATCAAGGCCACCCGGCCCATCGCCAACCCCAACCCAGGCTTTAGGCAACAGCTGGAAGAGTTTGGTTGGGGCAGTTCCCGGAAGGTAGGGACTGGGGTAGGGGCTGGGTAGGGCCTGGTTGGGAAACCCTTCCTCCTGCTTGAACTGAGCACTGGAAAGAATTTAGCCAGCTCTTCTGCACACTTGAATTGAGCATGGACTGGAAAGAAAGTAGCCTGTGAGTCAGACCTGGCAAAAGATTCTTCTGGGGTCTCAAACTCCATGTCCTTGAGCTAATCCAACCCCTACGTGTATTTTGTTCTGACAACCAGGCATGGGCCATGCCAATTGGTGATGTCTCTCAGCAGTCCCCACACCTGCTCGCTGCCTGGAACCTGAAAGTATTTGAGTGTTGGCCCCTTTGGAGAAAACTGTCTTTGTCCCCCTGCACCCCTGGATCCTTGACGAGACCAAAGTGGTTCCTATTCACACTTCCTGAAAAGATGGCACAAGGGCATGTCAGGAATTGAGGTCACCCTGCGAAGAAAGAACGGGGGAGGGATAGAGAGCGCCCTCTTAAAGGCTCCCGACAGGTGGCAGGAGGATCCAAAGGCTTATCTGCAGGGCTGCGTTAGGACAGTCAGGGAAGAAGCCCTGCGTGCGCTCTTGAGACCTCAGACATTAGGCCTCAATGTGAGAACTCAGAGGCGCAGGGCGGAGGGGTGAATGTGGTCCTCAAGGGGCAGGTGGGAGTCTTCGGCAGGTCGGGAAGAGGAATGTCAAAGGGGAAGGGGAGTTCAGGGACAGGGAAAGGAAAAGGGAAACAAAAAAGCTGCTCAGGGAAGGGAAAAGCCCCTTGGCACAGTGTGGGTGCGCAGAGAAGGGCAGAGGTCTCCAGGACGGAGAGGGGGCGGGGCCGGCTGCCTTAACCACGCCCACCCATCCCCCCGCCCACCGCAGCTTCGCAGGCAGCTGGAGGAGCGCTTCGGAGAGAGTCCTTTCCGCGACGAGGAGGAGGTGCGCGCGCTGCTACCGCTGTGCAAGCGCTGCCGGCAGGGCCCCG